GAAGTGCACTCGCCTGTTACAGGCGTCTTTCAGTATCTCAACCTTCGTCTTGGCAGTTAAGCGTTAACAATTAACTCAGTGGAATCAGCTTGTAAACAGAAGTGCTGTAGAAGTCAATAGGTCTCAGGACATTACCCTTAGATAGGTGGATTTCAGTATAGCTCTGTAAAAAAGTCGTGCACCACAGAGTCTATGGATAGAGCAAGGCTTTTCAGAGTAAGAGTGAAACTAACTAATTTGGTTACTTAACACTTTTCATTGTACAGTATGTGGCTCACTAGTTTGTAGCTATTCTCATGGGGTCTTGGGGTGTGCATTCGCCGCAAGGTAAAAAAGGAATACAGACTTGTGAGACTGAGCCTTCTAGGGCATGGAGAACTAATCAAGGGCCAAAACACTGCTGTCGAAATTCAGCTTGTAACTGTGTTTATGGAGCCGTTGCAGGCTGTGCCAACACAAACCTTGCTGGTCTTGGTTTATCACCTCCAGAGATGGCCGTGATTAGCTCCCCACACTGCTAGCCATATATCTCAGCTGTCCCACCTCCCCACGCTCAGGATGACCCATTAAATGGAGATGGAGAAAGAGAGACAACGTGAGTAGGAGGGATGGGAACTGTGGAGAGCAGAGATACTACCTGTAGTTAGTGTAATAGTAGTGTTTACTCAGCTTCTGCGTGCTCTGTGCATTGCTCTGTTGCATTGTTTGTAGACTACTACCTCCACATGGGTGGCCAATCCCTTGCTACACCCAAACACAGGGTCATAACTTGAATGACAGGCAACAGATGTGTGTGGCAAACAACCAAATGGCATAGGTGTGTACTTTTCATTATACTCCCAACAAAAGCTCCATTGTCCTCTAAAGTTCACCATTTGAAATGTTCTGTTCCATTGTTCTGCTCTTAATTTGTTCACTAAAGCTCTTCTGCCTGTCATGCTGTATATATAGAGTGTATGTGTTTTGCTCTGCAATATTAAGAGCTCCCCAGGCACTCAAGACTCCAAAGCCTCTTCTTAAAGGACTTGGAGAGCGGATGCCCTCCAGAGTGACCGGACATTTAGGGTTGTTTCCGCTTCTGTATCAGTTTATAACCTTCTCTTCTCTTTCACGGTGTATGTATAGGATATATATGCATAGGATATATGATCTTGACATCTTGACAAATTGGACTGAAGCCTCAGTGCTACATCATAAATTGTTTTTAGCCTGGTTGCAAACCTCTGAAACATCACATATATTTCAGATTTCTTTGTATAGCAATTCAGAGGAATGATTTCAATGTGGCTTTTGTGAATAGCTGTTCCTTAACAGCGGTTAACCGGGCTAGGAAGCTACAGGCTTGAATTTATTAAAGACATCCTCCCCTTTGTTTCATCAATACATGTCCATGTCTTAAGTGATAATGAGGTGGAAGAATCAAACAAATATTTCATTTTACCTTCTATTATTTGGGCCGTCTATCCTGGGTTTCCAGTTTAATTGTGTTTGCATAAACAAAATATATGAAAAATTCAGTTTTTCATAAACTTGTTCAATTGTTTACTTTGCACACAAACACAGCATCAGCAAGGCACTACTGGGTGATATGGACAAAATGAAACAACAGAAAATGGCTAACAAACAGGAAATGTGAGCCTAAACTAGAATGCTATGATTTTGCTCTTCACAATTTTGAAAATATTCAGATCTTGGTGGATGGTGTGGCCAATTTAATTATAAAATATTTAGTTTAGTTTGTGCGCTACAGTTTTAAACTATTAATTTAGATCAGCCACTGTAGCTGTAAAATAATTTAGCTCCTGAATTCATCCTGACTAATAATTCATTAGGATCTGAGTTTCTGCAAAATAATCTGGACGATCCTTTTAGCCATAATTATACAGGGATAACTCTTTCCCTCACACACATTTTCCTCTCTTACGCATAAATTAGGTTTCAGAATAAATCATTTATGAATACACATACACACGCAATTTTACGAGGGCAGACATGCACCCCTACGTGTTCTTACTGTTTTTCTCTCGCTCTCCCACATAATGGCAAACAGCGTCTTCCTCTGCTCTGAGCCACTTGCTCAGATTTTTGGATCAAACCGCACCATTTCCACATTGATGCCCTGTCCATCTCTCACCAGCTCCTCCACCGCAGCATAAATGCACATGGGGAAAATCATTGTCCCGTAGTGTTTGTGTGGGTCTGGGAGGCACCAAGCTGCGCTGGGATGAATAAGTAACTAAATAAATAAAGAATATACCTCGCTCTAGGAATTTGTCTCATTGAAGATGAAAAGCATCTCCCTCTCTCTGGCATCTGCTGTGAAAGATATCCCTCCACCGCCAAGGGTTTGGAGCACGGCAAGTAGCCAACTCTATCAGCCTCACTCACTCTATCTACCCACCGACGTGAACCAACGCAACACTGGCATACATAAAAATGAGAGTCAAAACACATTTTTCAGCCAACAAACTTGATGTGAGTTGTGCTCATTTTGCAGAGCTAACTTAGGGCATAAACGTGAAATAAAAACGGGGCCTGAATGTCTTTAGATGTGGTTGCAGAGTGGGGGTGTGATCCAGTTCTTTGGCACCCTGACCGGGGTATTTGTTTATGGTTTTCTTCAACAGACTGCTACAGATTTAACACACCAACAATGAGCTGCAGTCTCATTACCAGTGAAGGTGAAGACACAGAGGGAATGTTTTTATCTAGAGGTGTTACATTAGTTGCGTTTGTAGGTACTTCCGGAAAATCTACATGCAGGGAGGATTGTAATGCTGATTGATAAAATCACAGCATGAACCTTCACTGACAATAGATGATGTTGGCTGCATTCACTGTTTAAAATTCATTAGATGCAAGGTAGGTTGCTTTGGAAAATACTGTCGGTTCAGTAGACTTTAAGCCTAAAGGCCCATTCCTGTAAGTATCAAACAGTGATGAAGAGGTAGCCGTCAATGATATCTGTCTGCAGCTGCTCATTTCATCACTCTCCCTTTGCCAAGTAACTAAATCAGATTTCAGGTGAGAATGAGAATGAAACACGGAACGGTACATTGCTACATAGCCAATGTCCGCTAACACTTGTTTACCAGCTGAAACATGGGGAAACTTCAGCAACAGCAGTTTACTTTCTGTACTCTCCAAAATCTGTCTCTAGTGGCATAAAGCGAAGTCAGCGTTCACTCTAGTTTTGCTTCTATTTCCTTCACCTCTTTTATTCTACTGAGGCTATGCTAACCTGTTAGCCCTGGCACATCTTGTCAGTTTCTGATAGTGAGTCACCGCAGCAGCCAGTCTGCCCTGAAGAAGGAACGCTGCTCAGAGGGCGTGTTGTAACCTCTTTTCCTTTAAAAGCAGAGACTGCTGAAGCTAATGGCAAGTGACCATCACCACCACCCACTCCCGGCAAAAAAAACACTTTTGGTGCCGGAGAAAACGTACACATAGCGCCTTTAAGATTTTGCGTTCCCAAGAACTATGCCTTACAGAGTGTTTTCTTTGTTTCACAAAGAGGGTGGTCGAAGTGGTGCCCTGTGTGTTTCCACATCACGCATTGAAAACACCACGTGAGTAATGGGCTGCTCAACACCTCCACAGGCTTAAGAATGGAAAGGTTTTTTTCCACTAGATACTGGAGGCATTGTGTTCCTGACACTCTAACTTATTTAGCTGAATTGAATAGACCAGAGCTGACCGGCCACCCAGCAAGCCTCAAGATATTGCACATTGTAAGCACATCTCTTTCTCTTTTCCACAAATATCAGTATTGTTCAGGCCCCACTATAAACTGGGCAGTGAAACTGAACAGATTAGCTGAGAAAGTCTTCGATTCCATTCCAGTAGGCCTCTTGTAAAAACTTTGTACAGAATCATTGTCTGGGAGCCCTTGAAGACAAAAGTAGGGCTACTTTGAACTTTTAAAACTTTTCTCATTTTGGTAGTTTTTTTGTTGTCTTCTGGAGATGCTGCTTTAAATCCATCGAAAGAGAGATCTCTATCCGTACCATACAGTGGTCTGCTTTACTGTGTTATGATTACTCATCACAGATGGCCATGGGCAAGAGAATTGGGATAAGAAATTAAGTTAGCTGCATTTATGGGGATGCACAGTTACTTTGTTTATAACAGCATTAGACATCTAAACTGCAGGCTATAACAAACTTGAGATCATTTATCTAAATCTTATCAGTGGGCTGAAGTCATTTCCTTCACTAAATCTAATTTCTTAAAAGACACAGAATCAGTGCATGTGCTGTCTGTTTTGAGAGATGGCCTTTGTTTTTGTCTCCACCTACTACTTAAAGTGATGGAGATGACCGCTCTGTTTTATGGCTTGGTCAGTTATGGTTAATTTGTCGTACACCTGCTACTCCTTTGTTGACCAGTCATGTGTGTGTCCCCTGGGCTGTGTTGCATGCTTGTTTATGTATGCATACATGTTGTCATTGAATGAGATCATGGCACTTTGTTGATTTGAACCCATCTGGAAGACACAGTTTCAATTTCTTAATGGGGAACATTAAGTGGGCGTCGGTCCTCAGGGAGTAATGTTTAGGAGGTCCTCTGGGTTTTTGACTGATCCTCACGGGGAGAGGATGATCGAGAAGCTTAATCCTGCGTCCTGACCTCCCCTTTGTTTGTGTTATTTCTTCCAAAGATCCTCGCTGTAGCGGCGTACTGCATTTCTTCTTGAACTCTTCTGCTGATGTAGTTTTTGCGTGTTACATTCGCTTCACTTGTATTTTCCTCTGCCCCAAGCAGGGTTTTGTTGTGGTTAGTGGGTGCCTTGTTTATCGCAGCCAAAGATCCCCAGTGTTGTGCGCTGTTGTTTTCTTTACAAGTATACACAATTTCAGTCTGCTTTGGTTCTGCCTTGCGACTTGTTTTTGATATTTTTTGCTTACCGTGTTATTATGTTCATTCAAATATATGCAAATATATGGTGAGTTTGAATACTAATGTTTTCTCTCCTTTTCTGCCTGTGTTTGCTCTCCCAGGTGTTAGTCTTTGATCCTGTCTGAGTGGGACGCATCGAGCAAGGGACTGAGGAGGGAGCAGTGCCAACTTGGAACATGGTGCCTGATATTCACCTGGCAGTGCCCCTCCTGCCCAGAGGGGCGTTGCTGTTCCTGCTTCTCTTCAGCTGCACGGTGTTCTCCTCTGTGGCAGATAGTAAGTAAAGTCATTCACCCAGGAAGTCCTTAATAAAATACACTTTGAACATTTTGACAGGGACCAACATTATCAAGAGCTAAACATAACCCACTACATTGTTTCATATTGATAAGTTGCCTATGACAATCAGGTTGTTGTCATCTATTTGTTTGTTTGACAGATTCCTTCCTTCACTTTCTTTACCATTATGAGAAATGACATTTTTCAGGCATGTTTAGGGGCCAGTTTGGTGCAGATACAAATAAAAATTGTGATCTAGTTAATTTAAATGTGGTTTCATAAGGGGAATCATGGTCCTTGGCAGAGATATGCCCTTTACTGAGCACCATTCTTGTGTTTTCATCTGCATTTGTTTGTTTGTTAAGTAGTAAGCAGGATTACCCCCCAAAAAAACCCAACCAAATTCATGGCATTTTGTGAAGGGGTATAACCCAAGGAAGAACCTGTTACATTTTTAAGTAAAACAGGCAGATCCAGGATTTATATAGGATTAATATTGTGAGTTAGGTATGCACTCTCTGATTGCCCTGAAGATTCATGTAAATTCAATGGAGATTCTATTTAAATTAGGTGTCTTTGGTGGATTCCAGCAAACAGAAATACCTCCTCCTCCTATGCATGCCCCAGAGTATAGAGAGCCTCAGCATGTGCACTAAAAATAAGTGTACAGTGCATGCAGGGAAGCTCCATCGGCCTCTGTGCCTTCCTGTCAATCTGAATGAAGCTTTTGACTGGAAGGAGTACTCTCAGAAAGATGTCTCGCCATTCCCGTGCCTTTGAGTCTCAGGGGTAGACAAGAGGCACTGCCCTGCCTAAGACGGGGTCAGGGACAGAATTAATTCAACACATGACCTCACCTATAGTGCTGTCATTGGGTCACTGTAATTCAATTATACCCCAACCCCTCCCATTCCTCCACCCGGCCACGCCAACTGCCCTGTCCTTTCGTACATGGGTCCAATAGGATTTGTTTTTCTGTACCCTTTGCCTTCTCTCACTCAACCCCTTGTCTCTCGCAGTGTGTCTGGAGTTTTGCAGTTTAAAGTTGTGAACCCGACCTTGTAGAAACGTTTTGCTCTCCTGTCTTTGTTCTTGTGGTACAGGGGGACTGTCTTTGTTCTGCTCTAAATGGGATTAGACCAAATCCGACCTTGACTGGAGTAGTAGTGGTCAAGTAAGAGGAGGAGCCCTGTGATTACTTCATACCTAGAGTTCAAAGTACATGTATTTGACCATTGCAGTCGTGTTGCTAAACATCTGATTCCTCCCTGATACAAAATAACAAACATTGAATCACTTTAAATCTATAATTATGTATTAGTTGCTGATGATTAATAATCTTGGAAATAGTAATTAAATAACTGCAAGATATTTTTTGGGCTATGAATAAGTGGCATCCTACTTCTCTTGACAAAACAAATGATCTGCAAAAGATCTGCTTAGTCAGTAATTCATTTATTTATTCATTCACCATATTTATTGTCATGCTATGATGTGTACCTGAGCTCCTCTTTACCTTCATTTTAATTGCCACCAAGGGAGGAAACAAAATTGATTCAGCTGCATTTGCTATTTAGAGATTATGGAGGAAAAGGTAATGTCAGGGGCATGGAAGGTTCCAATATATTATTTAAAAGTGCTGAGTCTGTCAGATGCACAGTGCAGAGTTTGGATGCGACCTTGTTTATTTAGCTGTAATGCTGTTGGGCTGTTTTGAATCTATATTGTGCAGATATTTATGTCCAAAGTAAATTATTTAGCAAATATGCAGGACTGCTGAAGTTATTTAATTTTGAGAAAGACATTGTGACAGTATTTTGTGCCTTCAGGACATTTTGAATACACACTCCATTTGCCAGAGTTAAATATGCACGTACACCTGAACGTGCAGCAGTTTGCTGGACTAAACATTTTACTGTGTTCAGCTTTTGAACAATGGCATCATGTGGACAATGTTTTACATAATCTTTTGTTCTCTGCCTCCGTGAGAGCAAGGTTTCCCCCCGGTCTCTAATTTCAGTAATCATATTATTTACACATAAAAACACAGAACCAAGCCTCTTTATTAACAGATAAAGATACTCTGCTGGGACCTGCTGGGACAAGCATTTTTACCGAGGAACCACCCGGACACTGATACTTGGATTAGGGGCAGAAGAAAAGGAATTGGAATTAAATCTTAAAAGGAAGATAAAAGAAATAATTGGTACAAAAGCCTGGCTCTGGTCTGAGGTTAACCTATGGTTGTAGCTTAATGAAAGCACATGTTGGAAAAGTCGCAGACCTGTCTTTATGGAAAGGAGTCTGTCTGTAAAGCAAACAGACATAGAATTAAAATAAGACAGTTGGGGGGCAAAAATAACACCTACCACTAATGGCAGGGTTGTGTGCGTTTGGTGTCTGTAATTTGTATGCAACTTAGTTATGTGAACTTGATAGTTCTGGTTTGGATTTCCTGTATTACAGGGCAGACACCAGACAGATATTATGGGCGGATTGTGCCTGGCATGGCTCTGATTACATGGGTTCAGTCTGGTGTCCTTGTCTCCCCGTAGAAACAGTAAAGCAGGCAAAAGCTGTCACAGATGGCAAATGTGTGAGCAAAGTTGAGCCATCTCCTCTCATAAAATCTAAAGGTTATTCCATTTACAGTGCAATATTTGCTGATTTAGGATGGCTACATTTCAGAGGCTTTTGTACGACTGTTTGTTTGGCACAATTCCCAAGTTGGTACAATTCATAATGATTAAACACCACAAATACAGACATAACACGACCAGCAGCACCAGTGACACTCTGTGACATCATACATCCTATATTGTCATTAAGTCAGCACCGAATACAGAGTGATTACTGCGAGTGCTGATCGCAGACGTCTCATCGATCCCCGGGGAGCTCATCCTAATCAACCAGCTCTCTATACAGCCTCCTCGTACACAATAGGCCACTGGCCCACAAGGTCAGTCGCAAAGTCACACATACCCAGCACTTAAATGAAATGGTTATCTTTTTGTAGTGCTGTCATTGTGAGTTATTTCATTGGCTTTAATAAGCTTTTGATGTATGTGTCGCCTCCCGTGCCTCACATGTTGTAATCTCGGGCGGCTTTTCGTCTGAGGTGCAGCAGGGCCACCAAGGCCGTCTTAAGTTTAAAGTGACTTTCTATATCAAATCACCGTCTCATACGACCGCCTTTTAGCATCTTATTTGTGTTCCCCTATGTACCACAAATAGATTACTGGCAGTTTTTTTTATTTCTATAGACAATATCTATAGCCTTTGTGTTTCTTCATCCAATCACTAGCCCACAAAGAGGTGTCCCTTGGGGATGCTATGCTAAATATAAATGGCTGCAAACGGAAATATCCCCAAATAACAAATAAAGTGACTATTACTAGAATTCTAAGAAGAAAAAGTCTTTTAAAAGCCTCTTGAATCCTAAAAACTGCCATGTACTCCACAAACCCATAAAAGAAGGTTCATGGATTGATCTGGCAATTTCTAAAGAGACTGCACTGGACCGACGTGATGGAAGTGCCAAAGTGGTTTGGAAAGAAGCGGACAGACGGGGGGGACTGGGTGACTGCAAATTGGATTGTATTTTTAAGTGTCCATATGGTCACCCAGTTCAAAAACTGAAAGGAGAGGAATTGATTCTTTTTTAATTAAAAGTAACCATATCCACCTTGGAGAGCCACTCGGAGACTAATACAGTTAACACACAGCTGTGGTCCACACTCATCATACAGACAGTTGCACAGAGGGAGGCTGAGGAGGAGATAAAGCTGAACAATGGAAGATGTTCTCCATGGAAGCAGCACGAGAAGGCAATATATGTGAGGGAAACATCTGCAAGAGCAATGCAATGCAGGCCGGAGAGATTTGATGGGAAGTTGTTTTCATAAGCCAGTGCAGCAGTGTCAGAATAGAGGGAGGGAGGGGTCATAGGAGGTTAATGATGTGAGATTAATAGTTTAATTAGGGAGCTCAGTGGCACGGCCAGAGGCACTCACCCAAACCCTCGGCTGTGTCCCGTATTCGGCAGTGCCACAGGACAACAAGAAGCGCCAGTGTCCTTCCAGAAAAGGGCAGATGGGGGAAGACATTTTAATTTTCCATTCATAGTGACGGCTTTATTGACAAAAGATGACTAAATACCTCACTCACTGCCTGTTATAACTCATTGCTTATTATGTCCTCACTTAATCTTAGGGTATATGAATTGGAATAATCCAGTATTAACAGAGATTTGGAAGAAATGATGTGGATTTCATTTGTTTTGAAAGATATTATGTGGGAAATGTTAGAAGCATTAAAGGATGCCCATACGCATCCTGATCTGTGATCAGACTGTGCTTGGAGAAATTCAAGATAGCTGCTGTTAGACAGAGCATAATTGAGTATCCTTTTGGAACAAAGCACCCATGTATTGTTTACTTTTGCAGTTTCCTCTAAGGTACTTTTAAAGGCAGTTAACTCAACCCAAACAGCCTGAGGACATGGTGCAGTATAAAACGTTGTCTGGTCTCTAGTGGGATCTCCTGTACTTCATGGATAAATGGTCACCTTAACTTTTTTAAAACGCTAAATCGTAAGGGAAGCAACAAAGAGCCTATTGGCGCCTGTAAAGATAGAATTTCATTGTTGTTTTATGTCCCTACAGTAGCATAATTTAATTTCCTCCTCAATTTTAGCTAGCAGAGAGTTGAATTACTTACTAAGACCTCTGCGCTGTGTGGGTGAGAAGATGAGAACAATGGTAGGGCTTCTTTGTGGTCACTGAGGGAGGGGTAATCAAGGGGAGGTAAATTAATGAGGTTAGTGGGGTCACAAGGGGGAGCGTGGTGATGGATGATGAGCTAACCCCAAAATGGAAGCTCCGAAGAAGCAGGGAGGCAGCTCCGCAGCTTAGCCCCTAACCCGCCCCCTCCCGGGATCACTTAACACACTTAACATTTTCCCCACACTGGTTTATTAATGTCAGAGTCCGAGCCGAG